CCTTTACGCATCCCAGTGTGAATCAGCGCACTACCAGCTCCCATGGTAGACTTTTTCCCCTAATTTTATCACAATTTTCCAATGTCACTTGCTTCACCTATCCTGATTTTTATACTGAGCTTGTTTCAACTATCCCGTCATTCTGATATTTTACACCTGTTTCGCTTTTCTGCGATACATAAAATTATATAGATCTATTTCAGCTGCTTTGAGTCTGAGATTCCATCTCTTGTCACCTACCATCCTTTTCAGTGCTGTCAAATATGAATTCAGCTATAGGAGCGTTATATTTTAACTTCAGCTTCATTGCTTGGAGGATAGCTCGCTCAATTCTATTTGCACCAACGCGTCACTACTGCCTATCACTTATTTTTATTACGAAAATCTACTAGCTAATTTTATTGTTTTATATAGTGGCTATAACTTTACGCTTCGTCCAGTCAGCATATGTGACTGCCTCCAATATCTCCCTTTTTCTTATTCCTTATCTATTATTCTTCCATGCCGAACTTTTTCTTCCTCAGTAATTATGCTCCTAATTGATGTATTTTTTTAATTCAAGAATTTTGTCTTATTTTTGAGCTCGATCTTGTACGTCTTAAAATGCATAGCTTTTATCTGTTAGTCGCTTTTAATCATTCCCTTACCGATTATCTTTTGAAAAGATTTCACGATCTGCTAATTATGACTCACACTATCTTTGGGGCTATAATTCGCATTGTTTATTTCCATGATAATGAAGTAGGATGGCCTTTTCGTAATCTAGCCTGTCTCTAAAACAGCAAACATTTGCGCTACGTGGCATAACATTTGATTCCCCGGGATGAGTCGTGTAACCAAGACTCCTACTTAGAACCAGCTGAATTATAGTGTATGGCTGTGAATAGAACTCACTTATTGAAAGCAGCTCGTAATGGTAGACTCATTACACAATTGATTAAGGGGGAAACTGAGATAAGCTGGGGAAAAAACGTGGCGTCGCGTAGTTAGGGTGCCCTTGGTTAGTTCTGTGTGCCACCTGGTTGGTTCATAGGATTGGCACGATACGGTGCCAAACTTTGATTGGTCGACGTGAGATAGAGAATGAGGATTAGTCATACTCTCACGTTGTCTTCGTATTACAATATGTTGAGCCATGGCTACGTAAGTAATGTAATATAACTAACCAATGTAGTTCGAAAGTGGACAGATAGGTCACAACAGCCTTATTTTATAATTCACACACACTACAGGGAACGAAAGTAGGTTAACTGTCGTTCATATGTCTAGTCACCTTATGCCGCCTAGGTTGGCTGGAACTATTATTCAAAACTTGTTATATTATTTGATTTCTAATCTTTCTTTTACTCCATAATTAGAATCCTCGATGTTTTAATTCCTCAATTTTACGCAGCATTCTGACATGGGCTTTTGTAATTATTTTTCAAAGGCCTGCCTGAAAAAGTTTATAATTCCAATACTATCAAAGGTAAAATTCCATTCCTTCCTCAGTTATGTAAACCACATTGTGGTATGTTTTAGCCTAGAATAAGCTCACCCAGTTTCGAAACGTGTAACATAGTCTTGCTTTTTGTTCATTTTTACTGTGCATATGAAATAATTATTTGTGAAGATTCGCCACGATATATTTAAATTAAAACTTATTTAATCTATTTTCTAGGATCTAGAACTATTTGGTGCTCTTTATCAATATCATATTTCTATTCACATTGCTTTAGAGAAACATCACCGCCAAGTTACTATGCCTGCTGAGACATCTCTTGCATCCTGTCTGCTGCGTTCTCTTCAAATTACGCCAGACCAAAAGCAAAGGCAATTGCCCGTGACTGATCGTTGCGAGAAACAGGTCACCAACGCTAGTGGTTCAGGTAGCAACTGCAGTCTTGGAAACAGCTTCTCTGGCTCAGTTGCCAGTGGATCCTCGCCTGACAACGCCTTATTCCCATGTAAGCTTTGGATGTAACCCGTCATAAGTTTCTAGCACAATTATACCATTTATATATGTTCTTAGATTCTTTATTTCACCCCTTCCACATTTTATCTCACATATTTATTCCTTATATCTTAGCTTTCCTTGTTCTTTCATCTTTCTATTTCCTTTTTCCATTCTCACAACTATCTATCAGTGCGCTTCACCATATTTTTCTCTTCCCCTGAATTACATAGTCCTTTATTTTTTATTTCCTCACCATTTATCACTTAGTCGAAGGGTTTCTATGTCTCAGATGACACGAAGGTGTATATTGGTACACTCTGCTTTCTCACGTTCAAAGGGCTTGTATTTTAATTTATGGTTCAAGTGATTCTATCCTAACTTGATTTGCTCAACTTGGTCGGGGTGTCAGTAGGACCTTGTGGAACGTACCTATTCCTGCCTCCTCTGCCATGGTATTCGTG